AGTTTCTAAACACAAGGAACAATCAGACCATTCTCACCTGATTGACTGGTTGGCTGAGGGTCTGGGCTGTGGACTTTCAAGTTTACCTAGGACCTGCCCGGGTGTATGCAGACATATGCAACAAAGGGTGTCTCCTAAAGCTTTTGAAATGATGAAACTGTTAGCCAACTGAGACACAGCAGAGGAGAAACTGCCCTGTCTTCTGTTCAGGTGCCATTTCCTTCCTCAGATCCCTGCTGTCTCCATGCTTTGTCCTTAAATTATGAATCACTAACCCAGCATTGTGATTTGGATCCTGAAAGCTGGCTGACTGCTTTCATACTCATTCACTCTCAGCACCACAGCAACCTGTTCTCTGCATGTGCTGCATGTATAAATCTTCCTGTCTTAATCATCTCTGCATCCCCTGGGTGTGCTGGCCTCCAGCACCTGCTTTAGCTTTTTACAAGAGCAGGTACCCAGTGTTGAGTCGATAAGCATTTACCCAGGCAGGCTCACTTCAGGGGGTTTGCGTCCTGAGACTGAACAAAGTCAAGCATTATCTCCTTTCATTCTATTTCCTAAGATGACTCCAAATAGCAGAGGGCTTGCTTTTTCTTCTTCTTCACTGTTCACTTTGTATCTAGCACCTGTGCCGTACATTGGGGAAATCCTCCTAAAGATGGTCAATGTTGTTCTTTAGGAAACCATGTCAAAATTACAGCATTTTCCAAATCCAAATACTAGAGAGTATTTTCTAACAAGTAGAGGTTTACATAGTACCAAACAGAATATGACATTTGAAATCAGGACTGGTCCTCAAAATCAAAGACACATGATTATGATGCTCAAAAACGATGGTCTACAGCACACTCCCCCAAAGCCCTACCTTAAACTCAAGTCCATCTGCTTGCTTGGCTCTCTTCTCCTGCCTTTCTCATCTGGGCTGTCCCAGACACACTGACCTCCTTTTGGTCTCTTGAACTAGACAAGCTTGGATCTGACTCAGGCACTCTACGCCAGCCCTTGCTTCTCCCTAGTGACCTCTCTTAAAACTTTGCAAAGCTCCCCTCCTCCTAGCTTTTGCATCTCCATCCAGATGTCACCTTCTCACAAGAAATCATGTAAATAGCATCCATCTCCAGGGGCCCTTGACCCAGGCACTCTTGTTTCTACTACTTTGCTTTGATTTCTTTCATAGCATTCACTTCTACATGGAAATTATGTTGAGCCTGTCTGCACTTCCCCTACACCCCCCACCCCCCAACACCTGCTATGGTATAAACTTCTTGGGACAGACTTTTGTCAGTTTGTTTCCTCCCATATCATCACACCTACCCTAGGACCTGGAACAATGCAGGCACACTCAAAGGTTTGTGAAATAAACAAATGATCACTGTGTTTAGTGACCACATTCTGCTGCTCTGTCATGGATCCTTGTCTCTTCGGAACAGAGGACTGCATGACTTTTGCTAGTCTAAATCCATCCGTATCCTTTGGGAAACAGAAAGACTTTACTTTTGGCTGAATGGAAAATGGAAGTCAAAGTTTAGGACAGAAAACAGAAGTAGAACAGAATGCGCTATGTGAATGAAATCTGGTTTAACAGTGAAGGAGGTTAGGTATCTTTAGAGGAATACTGAACTTGAATGTAGGAAAGCCAACTTTGCTACAAAAATCACTAAGTCACCTTAAGCTTCAAATCCTAAAAAGCTTCAAATTCTGTAAATCCTTGTCATTTCTCCAAAGTAGGGATGCTGGAAGACCCTTCATTTTCCAGTGGCCATTCTTTTTTTAATTGTTAATTGCCCATTTATTTTTATTTTATGTGTTTTGCCATGCCATGCAATGCCTGAGGAGGCCAGAAGAGGGCATTGGATCCTCTGCAACTGGCATTAGAGACAGTTGTTAGCCACCATGTGGGTGCTGGGAACTGAACCCAGGTCTTCTGCAAGTGTTCTTAACTGCTGAGCCATCTCTCCAGCCCCCCCCCCCCCCAGTGGTCATTCTTTCAAAGGGGCAACCTATAGAGGTCTGGCTGACTTGAGTCTGGAATGTTCCACATTCCATGTGGTTCCTGGCTTGTTGCTATTGAGAGGTAGTAGAACCTTCAAAAGATGGAGTGTTCACTGTGCCTGGAGATCTTTCAGCCATTGAATTGAGCCCTTCAAGGGGATTGTGGGCCCCAGCCCCTTCTTCGTCCTGTCTTTTGCTATTTGGCTGTGAAGTGAACAGTTTTGTTTCACAGACAGCCTCACCATGGGCCCCAAACAACAGGTCCAACATCATGGACTGAAAACTCAGAAAACATGAGCCAAAATTAACCTTTCCTCTTTATAAGTTGATTGCTTCAGGTATTTTTTATAGTGACAGAAAGCTAACATGGGGGCCCACAGAGAGTGAATTTTCTGTTCTAATACTGAGCATTGTGAAGCCACACTTAAGAATTTTCATGAAAATTAAGAAATGAGGTAAATAAAATTTAACTTTGAGAATCAGCTTTGATAAGAAGCCAGACATACAGCTTAAGGGAGAAGATAGGGTTTCTCAGCTAGGGAGACCACAGATAGCCACCCTTTTCAAGTATAGGCATAGCTAAAATATGTGTGAGTTAGAGGAAGGCAGTGTTTTCCAAGCTTGCAGTTAAAGGCGAGAAGCAAATGCTGGTGCTATCTCTGAGTAAAGAGCAGATCCTTCACCCCAGTGTCTCATGTCCTCAGGTCCATGTTGTGCGTGTGTGTGTGTGTGTGTGTGTGTGTGTGTGTGTGTCCTGGGGAAGAAAGACCTCTGTCCAGATGAGCATAGGGGCTGCAACTGACAGACTGGATTTCCAACAGACTACAGGCAAAGTTAAGTTCCAACTCCCGACTCCCATTTATTAACTACATGACTCAGGTGGGTAATAAAACCTGGGATTTCACTTCTTCACCTGTAAATGGAGTGATGGTTACAGCAATGGCACCCAAGTATTGCCCAGAGGATTAGGTAAACATGCTTAGAGCAGGGACTGTAATTAGAATGCCACTAGCAAAGCCATCTCTGGTTTCGCACATGTCTCAGGCCTACTGCCCTTCAGTATTTGTCTCCTTTCATTCTGGTGTAACTTCAGCCACCAACATATTTTCCTTCCATAGAGGTGTCCCCACCCAGGAAAAAAAAATGAATGTGCTTAGCAGAGAGTCACAGAAAGGCCGGGCCCAGAGCCTGCCATTTCTCATGGCTAATAGATCAATTACTTTGCAAGTGTGTCTGGAATTCCTTCCACTGCTTGGTCACAAAAGCAAGGTGCTGCTATGCTGGTGAGGATTTCTGGTCCAAGGGCAGGTTGGTTTTGATTTCTCCATCTTCGTATTGGCATTCTGGTGCCTACCTCAACCTTAGTGTCTTGCGTTTGGAATGCAAACACTCAGTGATGCACATGAGACCTCAGCATCCAAAGCAGGCCAGACCTCTGCTAGATTTCATTTCAGACAGTTACCAGCTGTGTTAGTTCCTTGTCTGACCCCACACAACAGTAAAGAACCCCTGAGGCAACTGTCCCTGTGGTGGGCAGGTTTGGATGAAAAAAAATGAAGAGCTTTTTGAAAGCTAGCAGGTTAAAAATATATATATATAAGAATAAGGAAGTTGAAAGCAAATACATTAGTTTAAGGGCTTTGTGTGAGCTGCTGTGACTTCCCTCTCTCGATAAACCTCTGTTTCCATTACATTCTGTGACTGCCTGGGACGCCACTCCTTAGGGATTCCTGTGAGTTTTAAAGCATCCTTGATTAAAAGTATAAGTCACTCTGGTACTAGATAGATGGTTCTTCAGCTGTTAGGAGCACTGGCTGCTTTTGCAGAGGACCAGGGTTTCCATTCCCAGCACCCACATGGCCGCTAACAACTGTCCTTAACTCCCATTCCAGGGAATCTGATGCCCTCTTCTGGCCTCCACGGGAAATGCATGTATGTGGCGAAAAATGCAGGCGAAACGCTCACATACATAAAAGGAAAATAATGTTATTTTTTAAAAAAGTATAAGTCACTCTGGAAAGGACTGCGGCTGTCAGATGATTCCCATCAGTCGGGTGACATACATGTGTTCCCTAAGATCCCCTTCCTCCTCGCACCTTCCAGCATTAGTAAATTTGTAATTTTTTTTCTGAGGACATGAGAGGGAGAGAGCGGTGGGAAGAAAAGTAGATAAGAAAATTGATACACGTTGAGTGAATCCTAAGACCTACTGAGGGTCAGGGGAGAACTTAAGAAGTTCAAGGTCTGGAGAACTCTGGGATGACCAGCTACAGCTTGCATTATGGATAACTGTGGCATTTCCTGGTTGACCCAGGAAGGTAACCAGGAATTACAATACTGTTAACTTGGGAAAATGCAGCTTCAGAGCTAAGTACGCAACTGGCCAAGGAACTTAAGCTGCTCATACAGTTTTGAAAGGGGGCACCTCCTGCATGGGATCTGAGGAAGGAAAGAGAAAGTCTGGAGAAGCATTGGGGTGGCAAATGGGGTGCAGGGAGTATAAGGCAAAGCACAGAACGTAGATTGAGTTGGAAACGTCCTGGGAGTGAGGCAGGCAGGGCCCTGCTGAAATTCACAGTAGAGAAAGCTCTCCAGACTTCCAACTCCCCAAGGGAAAAATGTGTTCAAGAACGGGATAAGGGTACAAGGGTTTAGTCAGGCTTCATTCAACCCTCTAGGGACAGCTTTACTCTGGCTTCTGGGACAGCCTAGGACCTTTCTCCGCAGCGACCTTCCTCCCTAGGGTCCTAAGGAGGAGAATCAGGAAAGAACGGAGGCAGGACACGCACCTGGTAAAGGTGAGGATGTGGGTGAGCATGGAGAAGGGAAGAGTCGTGAAGAAAGAGGGCTGAGTGGAGGTGGAAGGGTGCGGATCCGGAGGGTTCTGGAAGCTGCTGCAAGGTGCAACCGAGGACTGAGGCTCCCGGGTCTGGTCCTGTGCGACGTGAGTGTGACGCTGCGGCGGCCAAACAGGTGAGCGGCTGTGGCCTTGGGTCCCCGCCCCCTGCCTCCTCCCACGGATTCTCCCCGGCACTTCGCTGCTCGGCGGCTCCTCACGGTTTGGGGTTTTGCAACTGGAAGCTGGCTTTTTTTCCCTCCTCCCCTGTGTAGGGCTCTCCTTCTTTTAGGCTGCTCCACCCCACCCAGGATCAGGCCAGGGGGAACCAGCTCAGCCGCCGCTGCCAACTCGCGCCCAGCGCGTCCGCGAACTCCGGGAGCCAAGTCCCGCGTCCTGCCTGCGCGCTGCTCCTCAGTTCCCGCCGCCCGCGGCCTCCCACCCGCACCCCTTCTCCACTTTTCCCCCCTTTTGCAATCACATGGCATTTTAAGAATGCCGGAAAGATGGCGGTAGCGGCGGCGGCGGCGGTGGCTGCGCCGGCTGGCGGGGGAGGTGACCGGGCTCAGAGGAGCGGGCTGCTGGAAGTTTTGGTGCGGGATCGCTGGCATAAAGTTCTGGTGAACTTGAGCGAGGACGCCCTGGTTCTGAGCTGCGAGGAGGGCGCTGCGGCGTACAATGGCATCGGGACTGCCACCAATGGCTCGTTCTGCAGGGGCTCCGGGGCCGGGGGCACCGGTGTCGCTCAGCCCCCGGACTCGCCAGCAGGCGTCCGCACCGCCTTCACCGACCTGCCGGAGCAAGTCCCCGAGTCCATCTCCAACCAGAAGCGTGGCGTGAAGGTGCTGAAGCAGGAGCTGGGCGGACTGGGCATCAGCATCAAAGGGGGCAAAGAGAACAAGATGCCTATACTCATCAGCAAGATCTTCAAGGGGCTGGCGGCGGATCAGACCCAAGCCCTGTACGTGGGCGATGCCATCCTGTCGGTGAACGGAGCAGACCTGCGGGACGCCACCCACGATGAGGCGGTGCAGGCGCTGAAGCGCGCGGGCAAGGAAGTGATGCTGGAAGGTAAGGGGTTAACATCGCACGGACAGGCACGGGAGGACTCATCAGCACCTGCACACTCACGCTCACTAACTCATCCTCCTGTCCCACGGTCCAGGGGTCCGCGGTGCGTGTGTTTTGTAGGGGCTGTGGCAGGCGTGGAGTTTTGACAACTTTTACAACCTGGGGGCAATTCGCCTGTACCCTGGATTCTGTTCGTTGTAGACTCTGGCCCTGGGTGGTGCTTGAAAAGACAGGACAAGCTGGGTTTCCTTGGCCCCATTCGGGTGGATACTGAACGATATTTTCAGGTGTTTCATAGTTATCTGTGCCTGTTGTTTCTTTTCTTTTTAAAAATTTTTTCTGCGGATAATCCAAGTGCAGCATTGAGGCTGGGAAATGGAGCGAAAAATGGAGAGTAGTCCGGATTTATATCCGTCCACGTTGCAAAGCAAGGCCACTGACTAGTGACAGCTCTGATACTTTTCTGCTTTGGCAGAATTTTCCCAGCCGGGGCAGCCCAGCAGTAAAGCCTTGAAAGGTGGAGAAGCCAGAGAGAGGCGGCAGTGTTCGAATGCTAAACGCAACCGCCCTTCGCTCAGCTCCCTGAACTGCGAGCCAGCGCGGCTGCGCCTGATGAACAGTGCCAAAGGCTGGAGAGATGTGGCAGGTTCTCTTCCCCTGCAGGGTGTTCAGCCGGTCAGTCCGGATTCCAGGTTCCTCTGGGTGGAGAGCTGGTGAAGTGGTTTTTCTGTCTGTGTTTCTGGGGTAGTGTGGAATCAACTCTCCAGCTGTAAACAGTTTTCCCTACCTATGAACGTGACCTTAGAAACTACCGCTATAATCATCGCATGTGAACAGAGAAGGAAACACCCACCGATTAGTGCCTGCTTCCGGATGTCTGCAATATGGGGGAAGGGCAGACAGAAGGTAGAAGCAACTGCAGTCTTCTGTCCTCCAGGGCTGGGTTCTCTCTGGCTCTGTAGTACATAGTTCTACCGGCACTAATATCATGCGCTAATTTCATCTATTCTCTCAGCTTCCCAGTATCTACAGATCCAGTTGTTAGGAGATCTTTTATTTAGATAGGGGTCTCTCTGTTGCTTAGGCGCCCAACGACAGTGCATAAATGAGACTGTACTTCGACCGAGACCCTATCATCTAGTGACTGGTTTAAGCCTGCACTTGGGAGGCAGAGGCAGGCGGATCTTTGTGAGTTCAAGGCCAGCCTGGTCTACATAGTGAGTTCAGGTCAGCTGGGACTACAAAAAAAAAAAAAAAAAAAAAAAAAAAAAGTAAGACTTATCAGTTCCCAGTTCACTCGACCGTGGTGCTGGTTGTATGACATGGGAAAGTTCGAAGTTGGGAAACCAACTTTGCTGGCATAGGGCAGCTGATGCAACCTCCTGGTGATCTGATGGTCTGTTTCCCGGCCTAGAATACAGAGGCATTTTTCCCCTTATTTGTCTAGAGGATTTGTGATGTCTTCAGATTTAATTGCCACCCCTGAATCCAAAAAGTGAAAGGCTGTTTGCTTTGGCTTGATGATTAACATAAGTAAACAGAAAAGTTTTCTTGATCTAGTGAGTGTTGGTTTGGGTGACAAGTGGCAAGCAGGATCTGGGGCAAATGTAATTTGGACTATAAACTGCTGGGCACCTGCTCGGCTTGTAATCTTACTGCGAGTCTCCAGGGAGAGGTGGCAAATACAAGTCATTTTTAATTTCAGACACTGTCCCTTGTTGCATCACTTCTCTTCCTTTCTTAGGTTTCAATTTCATGAATAATGACTTGCAAAGAGATTAAAAAGTGACTCTCACCCAAAAAGAGGAAGAAAGGGTGACTCCTTGTGGTTGAAAATAAGCTCAGACCCATTGTGTCCTGGGCGTCCCTAGCCCAAGTTTTCAGAAATTGGAAGCTAGTAAGAGACTAGCTTAATCCCTGAGATGGCTCAGCGATTAAGAACACTGACAGCTCTTGCAGAGGACCTGGGTTCGATTCTCAGCGTCCACCTGATGGCTAACTCTAGTTCCAGGGGAATCCAACCCCTTCTTCTGACCTCCACAGGTATTACATATATGCAGGCAATACATTCACACACATAAAATAAAAATGATGAAATCTTTTTTTTTTTTAAAGAGAGACACAAGTATAGGAAGACATGATTTAAAACATGCTGCCTTATCTTTACCCTCCCTTCCTGCCCTTCCAGCATCGCCTAGCCAGAGATGAAACCCAGGGACTTGTACATACTAGGCAGGCATTCTACCTCTGAGCTTCATTCCCAGCCCCCAAACACAGTGTCTCTTATTTGAAGCCAAGTGTTTATTGTCCTTCGTGGTCCTCAGTAAGGTGTTCCTCAGTAGTGGTCACATACCATCAACTCAAACATCGCAACTGAAAACATCTCAAGCAGAGAGTCTCAGTGAAGGAGCGCATTAGAATCATCTCCAAGGCTTTTAAAACATGCCTACTTCCTTATGTTCAGAAATGTGGGATTTATTCCAGAATCTATGAGGGGATATGGGAATAAAATATGGTTGGACTAGAAGGCTAAAAATATATTTTTATGGCAAATCGTTCTAGTTGAACGGAACACCAAACCATTTCCACAATATTCACCATTTCTGGACATACGCCCTCTAGTGGACAGTTACTGCCTCTGTTGGGGAAACACAGCAAGGGGAAACCCTAACATCAGGTTTCAATCCTCCAGTCTAGGCTTTGATTCCACCACATAATCCTTGTTACCTGCCCGTGCCTGGGTGTCTTCACGTGCCTAGTGAAAATAAGGAAAGTGCTGGACCTGTTTACTTCACAAGGTGACCCTGAGGAAAAGCAAACCGAGATTAAAAGATCAAATACCTGTTCCAAAGTACTTATACATTTTCAATGAAATGGCCCCTCCTGAGAGGGGAATCCTTTCCTCTATCTTACAGGAATTTGTATTTCTCAATTGGCCATTTTAAGGAAGGAATTCTTTATTTTGGCTCTTGGTTTTAGATTATCTATCCATCTATCTACATTAAAACTGTAATATGTGTTAGGACACCATTCCTCTTGGGGCTACAGAAGTTAAACAGGATCTGGAAAAAGAATCTCAATAGCTAAGACTTCTTGAGCACTTAATTTGTGCCAAGCTACACATACTTTCATTTGCTCAGGGACTTCATAAGGCTAATACTATTGTTTATTTTACTAATAAGGAAACTAAAGTTTATCAGCATTCTGTTATCCATTTAAAGCAACAATAACATAGCTAGGAAGCATCAAGGTACATCTGACTTTCAAGCTCATACCTTAACCTCTAGACAAGACTGGTGCCCTCTGCTTCTCCAGGGAACCATGTACCTGAGCCACTTGAAGTCACCAGGCTCCTGGCATCTTCCCCACTTCTTAAATATGCTGAGTTCCTGAGGCGACCCTGAGCAGGAAATAGCAATTGTGTTGTATACTCAAAAGGGAGGGCAGGAAGGAGGATGGAGTTTTATAAACCTAATACACCAAGCATCTGACTATCAAAAAAAAAAAAAAGAGCTGCTGCTATGATAGAGCCCAGCTCTGTAACAGGACAAAGGTAAACAAATGGCCCGCAAGGAGTGGAAACTGTTCATTCAAACTTAATTTGTTAATTGGCTGTACCAGGTAAGCCAATGTTAACCAAGTACATATTAGAATTAAGATCAGAAAATTTCATATGCTTTATTTCTCATTTTAAAGAGAAGAATCAGGGCCTTCTACATGGACCTGTGAGGATATGGGACCCTAAAATTCCATAGCATTGTTCACATAGACTACCATGTGACTGAAATCCTGTGGAGCTGGGGAGAACACAACTGCGTATACATCCTTGGCAATTCTGGGTTGCAAGAAGAGCATTTGTTCTTAGCTGTATGTGTGTGTGTGTGTGTGTGTGTGTGTGTGTGTACATATGCATACATGTGTACATGCACACATGTATGTGTGTACACATGCATATGAAGGCCAGTGTCTAACATTAGCTGACTTCCTTAGTCACTCTTCATCTTGTTTTTGAAACAGGGTCTCTTGTTGAACCTGAAACTCACTGATTTTCCTCGCCAGGCTATCCAGTGAGTTCTAAGGATTTTCCTTTCTGCCTTTTCAGCTCTGAGATTACAGAAGCATTCCTTCATGTCCAGTTTTTACATGAATACTGGGGATCTGAACTCAGGTCTTCGTGCTTGCGTGGTAAGCACTTTAATAATTGAACCATCTCCTCAGCCCCAGTCTTTACTTAGTAAAATAATAACTTGAAATATGTCAACATTCTTATAGCTGAAGCAAGAATAAAATGAATTCATTCAAAATTTTATCAAGATAGAGGAGCTCAGTTCTGAAAGATTCATGTTGAAGTGAGGAGGTGAGGGCAGACCAAAGTTCCCCCTTGTCCCAGTGGGTTCCTATGGAACTGGAGTAGGGAAATAAGAAATTCAAAGGAGAAAGTCAAGGATGGTTCTTGAGGTAAACCATTTCTTCAGCTCTCCATCAGCTCTGCTTCCAGGAGTGTTTGAATGCTGAAATCACTTGGAAAGTCACTCTGTCATCCCTTTGTCTGGTGGGGATGGGGAACAGAAAGCTAGAGATTATGAATAAGCAGTAATTTCTCTGACAGGAATGGAAAAGAACTTTAAGGGTTTTACTTTGTTATGGATGTATTAAGAAATAGCCTAGATTCTTATGTTTGAACATTTTCACTTTTTATGAGTTATTGTAGTTTTGGACTCTGGTTTTTTCATTGAAAAGCAAGGAAACTGGATCAAGCCATCTCTAAATGTTATTCTAGCTTAATTCTTGTTAATTCAGATCCAGCCTATAATTTAATAACAAATTTGTTAATCATTTGTTTTTAAATGAATTAATAAATATTCTCTCCAATTTAAATATTAACATTAAAAAGAAATGATTTTAGAAAAAAGCTTTTAATAGATAAAGCCTACATTGGACTCTTTTAGAGGTAATTATGAGGGAGTTATGTGCTACATGTGTATTGAAAGTCACCGTCT